TGCTGCTGGAGGTGCTGCTGGTACTGGTGCTGCTGGAGCTGCTGGAGGTGCTGCTGCTGCTAGCGGTGCTGCTGGTGCTGCTGGTGCTGGTGCTGCTGGAGCTGCAGGAGGTGCTGCTGCTGCTGGCGGTGCTGCTGGAGCTGCTGGAGGTGCTAGTACTAGAGGTACTGGAGCTGCTGGGACTGGGCCTACTGAGGGGGTTGGAGCTGGAGGTGCTGAGCGGCCGCGGCCGTACTACGTTCCGCTTCTTCAGCAGGTTCTTGACCTCCCTGCCTCTCCTGGTCCTCCTCCTCCCCTACTGAGTCCACCGCCTGTCTGGTCGCAGTCACAGTTACAGCCAGCCTCTCCACTGCCTGGTCCTTCTCCTTACGCTGAGCCGACGGGAGGTCTTACGGAGCGTCGTGAGCCTGAGTCTCGTCCTCCGTCGCCTGAGACCCGTCAAGAGTCGTCTGTGTCGCGTCCAGAGTCGCCTGTCCGCGCTGTCCGCGCTGGTCGTCGTGCTCCGCGTCAGCATCCTCCTCCTGTCCTTGGCACTCACTATATGACCCTGCGTCCTTCCACTGCTCCACAGCGTGTCCCTCTGCCGTCTTCACCAGCGCCCGCTCTTCCTGCTCTCGCTGACCCGGAGTCTGACTCTCTTCGTGCTGCCAGTCCTACTGTCACGCGTCTCCTTGCCACTGTCGTCACTGACCCTTCCTTTGAGTCCTCTGCTGCGTCTGCTCTAGTCGCTGAGCTTGTTGACTTTGCTGCCGCCTGTCGTCTAGACTACGCCGCTAGCCTTGTTGCTGAGTCTGAGTCTGTCTGTCCTCCGTCCGTCGGGGGTGAGTGTGCTCTTGGCACGGACGTCCTTGAGGACAGACAGGAGGAGTTTGAGTGCTTTGCCGCTGCTTTGCCTCATCTCGTGTCCATGCTAGTTGCCCCTGAGGGAGACCCGGATGCACCAGACATCCCGACCCCACGCTCTTACGCAGAGGCGATGGAGGGTCTCTACTCCTCTCAGTGGCAGACAGCCATGGACGCAGAGATGGCTTCCTGGAAGTCCACAGGCACCTACGTCGACGAGGTTCCCCCACCTGGGGCGAACATCGTCAGTGGCATGTGGATTTTCAGGGTGAAGCGGCCGCCGGGTTCTCCGCCTGTCTTCAAGGCGCGTTACGTTGCACGAGGCTTCAGTCAGCGAGAGGGAGTTGACTTCTTCCAGACCTTCTCCCCGACCCCGAAGATGACCACTCTTCGGGTTCTGCTGCGCGTTGCTGCTCAGCGTGACTACGAGCTCCACTCTCTTGACTTCAGCACTGCGTTCTTACAGGGCAGCCTGCACGAGGAGATCTGGCTGCGCCGCCCACCTGGTGTCACTGGGTCGTTCCCTCCTGGTACCCAGTGGAGCCTCCGGCGGCCAGTCTACGGTCTCCGCCAGGCACCCCGTGAGTGGCACGACACACTGAGGACTACTCTTGCTGCTCTTGGGTTTGCTCCTTCTACTGCTGACCCGTCGCTGTTTCTACGCACCGACACCACTCTGCCGCCGTTCTACGTTCTCGTGTATGTAGACGACTTGGTCTTTGCTACTGCTGACACTGAGGCACTCGCCCACGTGAAGTCGGAGCTGCAGAAGAGACACACGTGCACAGACCTGGGTGAGCTGACAAGCTATCTTGGCTTGCGGATCACCCGGGACAGAGCACAGCGCACCATCACCTTGACTCAGTCACACATGGTGCAGCAGGTCCTTCAGCGCTTCCGCTTCACGTACTCCTCGCCTCAGCCCACTCCTCTGCCTACCGGTCACTCGCTCTCAGCTCTGCCTTCGGATGAGTCCGTAGAGCCGAGTGGCCCGTATCCAGAGCTTGTGGGCTGCCTCATGTACCTGATGACCTGCACTCGACCTGACCTTGCATACCCTCTTAGCATCCTAGCACGCTATGTCGCTCCTGGCCGTCACCGGAAGGAGCACATGGATGCCGCTAAGAGGGTGTTGCGCTACTTGTGCAGTACATCGGGCATGGGGCTTGTGCTTGGAGGACGGCGTGACGTTGTCCTCACTGGACACTTAGCCGCTTCTTGGGCTGACGACCAGGCTACGCAGCGGTCGTCTCAGGGTTACACCTTCAGCCTTGGCTCTGGCTCTGTTTCGTGGCGTTCTACACGCTCTTCCTCTGTACTCAGCTCCAGTTGTGAGGCTGAGATCTACGCCACAGCCATGGCTGCCCAGGAGCTACGCTGGCTCACCTACCTGCTGACCGACCTTGGAGAGCGGCCTCGTTCTCCTCCAGTGCTGTACGTCGACAACAAGGCAGCCATTGCCTTGTGTGAGGAGCACAGACTGGAGCACAGAACGAAGCACATCGCTCTGCGTTACTTCCTTGCTCGAGAGCTGCAGCAGCGTGGTCAGCTTCGTCTCTTGTACGTGGCCACTCGGGCCAACACTGCTGATGTGTTCACCAAGGCGCTTCAGCCTTGTGATCATCAGCGTTTCTGTACTGTTCTAGGCCTTGTGCCTACTGTCCCTCACTTGCTCACTTCTTGACTCTGCTTGTACTGTGATCTCTATATAAATACCTGCATGCTTACACTTGCTAGGTTGTGATCACTGTACCTCTTGTTATATTATCAAACTGCATGTGAACTGGTCTTGTGACCGCTTGCTTGTGCTCGGAATTTGTGTGGTATCCTTGAGATCCACCCTGAGCTTGTTTTGCCTTGCTTTGCTTTGACTGGTCTTGTGACCCCTTGCTCTCCCCCACTTCGCCTATGGGGGTGTGTCAAACATTATACTTGTTGTATTTGTGTAGGCTATAGTGGGTTAGCCTATAGGGGGTTCACAACTCTAGGGTTTCATATTTGTACTCTCACTTCTTTCTAGTCCAACACTTCTTCTTTCTAACACTCCTCGCACCCCCCTTCTTTGAGGGGTGTTCGCCCTCCCCCCTTCTCCCCTCAGTCGCCTCTGCTGCATCTGTTGACTACCTTCGTGCTGAGGAGGTAGGAGCTGCGTCTGCCCCTAGTGGGAGGCGCCGGAGCGGCAGGGGCAGGGTAGGCAGGAGCGGTGGGGGTGGCTGTTGTTCAAGATCCGTCACTTTGAGAGCTTACGACGAACTCATTTCTCAACTAAGCGCAAATCCGCTAAGTAGGATTGTGCACCTTAGGCTTAGCTACCATCTCCAAGTTGAATCAGTCGTTAAGATGGTCTAGAGAGTGAGAACCATGTAAAAACGTCCAGCAGCCGCATAAGTAAAATGATGGAGGGAGTACAATCATTAAGGCATAGAATGTTGGAGTTGGGGACTCCAAGAGAACCATGAGAGTGAAGGGGTTCTCCAAGAGCTAGGGAAGGACGGTAGGAACCTTCCTAGCAGCAAGGATGCAACCCTCATCATGAGGTTCTTGAGGTGTCACATGCAAAATCCAATCTAGTTGGATTTTGCCTAGGTGTTGCAACATTTGCAACCCATGCTAGAAACTTCTAGCCACCCCAATCCAAAAGTCAAAGTTGCCTTCCCTAACCACCCAAATTAGATATAACCCCAAAAGGTAATAAGAAATTCAAACCTTGGAAATCTTGTAACTTGGGCGATCTTGGTCGGAATAAGGCGATCTTGGTATCGTTGGAAAGCTCTGGATTTCTCCTGCATGATCAAGCATTTAAACTTGGAGAAAAACACAGAGATGATGATATCCAACAGCCATGCATAATGACATATGCTCATGCAAACAATGCACGCATGAATAGCACGAGCACTCGGCAGGACGTTAGGATGACATGCACTCAGAATGACGTGCATCCAACAAATTCCCCTTCAGACTAACGGACTGCATGCACACACACTCACACACATGCAAACTCTCATGCAGACAATCACACATGCATTCATGACACTGCTGCCCATACTAGTGCAATGCCATGCCACACATCTTAGCACACTTCCAATGTGCGCTCTCGGGAAGTCTCTTGGTGAGAAAATATGCCGCCTGCTTGCTAGCCTTCACATGGTGAAGCTCAACAATCCCCTCCTTCACCATCTGCCTCACCCAGTGCCACTTAATCATGTGCTTGTTCAGCCCATTCAGGATAGGATTATTGGCCATGCCAATAGCAGCCTCGTTGTCCCTCCAGTTCAGCTCCCATGTCCTCCAGTAGCTTCCTCAGGAGCACGAGCTCCTTGATGGCATGGTACATCGTCATGTACTCTGCCTCTCTTGAAGAATGAGCAATCTCACTCTGCTTCTTGGACCTCCAGCTCACTGGTCCACCTCCAACCATGCACACAAAGCCGCCAACCGATGACTGATCCTCATCCTCTGAGGCCCATGTGGCATCGGTGAAGCACGACAGCTTCAAGGTTCCAGGCGTGACTCCATCTGCTCCAATCTGTTTCAGCTGGCCGCCAGCTGAAAACTGAATACCAGCAGATGCCGTTGATCCGAGATAGCGCACCAAGCGCTTTGCCACCTTCATCTGCACAACTCTGGCCAACTGCCCCACTCCGAATGAAGCATCAGGTCGCGTATGCACAGCTGCATACATCACACTCCCAATGAGTGACTGGTACTCGTTCTGCTGCTCATCCTCGAGTACATCATCCTCCTCAGCTGCCTTCTTCAGTTTGAAGCCCGCAGGGAACGGTGTCATCACAGAGCGACCCCCAGTCACACCATACCGCTCCATGACACCAGAGATGTAGTGTGACTGATGCACCTTCAGCCACCTCCTCTCAACATCCCTCTCAATCTGCAGCCCCAAGTAGTAGTGGACATCCCCCAGCATCTTGCACTTGAAGTTGTCCATCAGCAGCTTCTGTGTCCTCTCAATCTGCTCCATGGAAGGTGAGAACAGAAGTATGTCGTCGACATACACCAGCAGCAAGAGCAGCTGCTCCCCCTCTCCAAGCAGAAACAAGCTGTGATCCGCCTGGGACGTCTTGAAGCCTCCACCCAGCAGCACCTCCTCCAGCTTCTCGTACCAACACCTGGGCGCTTGCTTAAGGCCATAGATGGCCTTCTTAAGCTTGCACACCCGGCTGGTCCCATCCTCATAGCCGTCGGGCTGCGCCATGTAGATATCCTCCAGCAGCACTCCATTGAGGAACGCAGTGGTGATATCCATCTGCTTCACGTGCCATCCCTTCACAGCTGCGCCAGCCATCAAAGTCCTCAGTGTCACTGGCTTAGCAATGGGAGCGAAGATCTCCCCAAAGTCGACCTTCTCTTTCTGCTGAAACCCCTTGGCGACCAAACGGCTCTTGAACCGCTCCAACGCACCATCAGCACCACTCTTCACCTTGAAGACCCACTTGTTGCTGATCGGTCGTCGCCCCTCGGGTAACTCAGCAAGCTCCCAAGTCCCATTCTCAATGAGACTGTTGAACTCCGCATCCATGGCAGCCTTCCACTCCTCCTTCTGGGGTCCACTCAGTGCCTCCTCCAATGTGGCTGGTTTTCCAGGCAGAGGTGTGAAGAAACAGAACGCCATCTCCTCATCATCTCCCTCATCCGCCTGAACCGCCATGGCACCTTGCTTGGGTCCTCCCAAACGGCTATACTTCAGCCTTGAGGGTGCTGCTGCCACTCTCTTCTCGCGGGTTGCAGTCTGCTGCCCATGTGGTGAAGCTCCTCTCTGCACACTCCTCTTGGTGACCTTGGCGTTTGCAGCAGGCTCGGGCTGAGTTGGTGAGTCCACACGTGCAGACTCATCCTCCAACCCCTCCTCTCCAGCAGGACCAGAAACTTGCTGCTCACCACCGCCACTATGGTCACTGGTCAGCTCTGACCCATGGAGTTCATCAAGGTGCAGCTGAACCTCCTCCACTGCAGACCACTCAAACTCCTGCAGACGCAAGCCAATCTGCACCTGCTGCTGCTGCTGCCAGTCCTTGTACATGACGTCCTCCACAAACTTGACGTCACGGCTGACCAGCGTTTTCTTGCTCTTGGGGTCCCACATCAGCCACCCTTTCGAGTCAGGAGCCATCCCAAGATGGACAACCCACACAGCAGCAACTTCCAGCTTGTGCCTCTGCTCCTTAGGCACCATCACAAGCCCCATGCAGCCCCACACCCGCAGCATGTCAATGGATGGCTTCTTCCCAATCCAACGCTCGTACGGCACCCAATGCTTGTCGCCAACATGTGTCAAGACCCTGTTCTTGACCGTGATGACGTGGCGGACAGCTTCAGGCCAGAACTTGTAGGGCATCCCAGCAGCCCCCAACAAGGTCTTAGCCGCCTCGCCAATAGTCCGGTTGGCACGCTCAGCAATGCCGTTCTGCTGCGGTGTTCCTAGGCAGGTCAGCTGGTGTCGGATGCCGTTCCTCTTGAGGAACTTGGTGAATTCCGCTCCAAGGAACTCTCCACCACGGTCGCTCCTCAGCACCTTCACCAGCCGCATCGCTTGCCGCTCCACCATCGGCAACCAATCCTCCTTGATCGCCGCTGCAGCATCGCTCTTCTTGGACAAGGGACGTGCCCACGTGAAACGGCTCCATTCGTCCACCATGGTGAGGAAGTACAGCACTCCCCTAGTCCCCTCAGTCCTCATAGGACCCACCAGGTCCATGTGCACCACCTCCAAGGGTGCCTTCGCCGATCCCTCCGCATGTGGAAATGGGAACCGCGCAAACTTGTTTTGCATGCACGCCTCGCAGCTGCCATAGTGAGCGCCATCTCCTTGCAGTTGCAGCCCATGCACGCAATTCTCCTTGTGCATCACCTCCAATGTGGAAACAGCCACGTGTGCGAGCCGCCGATGCCAAGTCTCCCAATCCGCTTGGCCCGAGGTAGCCGACGCCTTCACCGCCGCGCTTCCTCCAATCATCTCCTCTCCTTGCACAACTTGCTGCTCCTCCTCAGTGACGCTCTCCTCCATAGATGCCGCAACTGCCGCCTTGCCCGATTTCCGCCAAGGGAGGACCGGGATCTGCCACATCCGCTTGTGGACATCCCCTTTCCACTGCAGGTCCCAAATCAGCCGCTCATCATTGTAGGCACGAAAGCGCTCCGAGCCAATCGTCTCGGTGTTCACACCCGCATCTCCCAAACGGCCGGTAGAAATCAGGTTTGCGCACAAGTCCGGCACCCACAGCACATTCTTCAGCCCCACGAGCTCTGCATCCGCTCCCATGAACTTGGCGCACCCCATGCCCATGACCTTGGCCTTGGCGCCCGTCGCGGATGTGACCGTAGAGATGGGTGCGGGCTGAATCTCATCGAGTAGGTCCGCACGAGGAGTCATGTGCCAAGAGCTCCCGGAATCAATCACCCAATGTGTGAGGGGGTGTAGGAGAACCTTGGCAGCCATAGCGAGGTCGGTTGCGCCTTCGTTCACGAAGAAGAAGAACCCGGCCTTCCGCTCCTCAGATTTGCCGCCTTTCTCCTCCTCCTTCTCCTCTCCACTAGCTCCCATGACTCCCCCACTCCTCATGCCACCACGCTGGTTGCTTGATGAAGGCGGGGTCCAATCCTTGGGTCGTTGGTAGCACTTCCGCCAACGATGTCCGCGCTTCTTGCAGTAGAAGCACACCTCCCCTTGACCCCCGCCGCCATCCTCCTTAGGGTTGTCCTTGTTCTTGCCCTTCCACTTCTTCTTGAAGCCACTCTTTCCACCTCCAACTCCATAGCTAGCCGCCTCCTCCGAGCGCTCCACACTCCGCCGCCGCAAGTCCTCCTCTAGGATGCGCGCGCAAATGTAATCCACGCTCCACTGGGGCTGTTGAGAGTTGAGGTTGATCGCAAGGGCAGACCACGACTCCGGCAGCCGTATCACGATCTCCACGCATTGCACGAGCTCTGGGTACACCACACCGCCGCCTTGGAGCTTCGTGAAGATGTCCCGCATCTCATCCAACACCGGTTGCATCGGCTCTCCATCAACGAACTTGATGTCGCGCAGCCGCCGCGCGAGTAGCACGATGCCGGTAGCATGTGTCGGTGAGTGCACATCCAGAAGCTTCCTCCAAGCCTTGGGGGCACACTCTGGATCACCCAAGAGGTCCTTGATGTGGTCAAGTTGTCGCCCGCCAACCGCTTGCACCATGAGCATGTACGCGTCAAACGATCGCTTCATCCACGCTCCTTTCAACTCCGCGGCCTCCGGCATCTTCTCCTTCCCCTCCACCAGATCCTGTTATAGTCACAATAGGCTTGAATGTGCCTAAAACGAAAGATAGAGAGCACAGACGGATTTCTGCACAGCGGCTTCAAACGTTGATAGCGTTCTGCTCACAGCTGCAAATGACCTGATTCAAATTGGATCTGGAGCGTCTTCACGTCGTCTACAATTATCAATATAGATTGCACGATTTGATAAAGAATTGACGACACAGCGTCGGTTTGAACGAACGGTACTATGGCAGCCACTATAGTCTTAGAACACAAGATAGGAAGAGTTACAAGATAGGAATGACTCCCAGCTCCTACAAACCCCAAGAGCCGAGGTACAGTGATGTGGAACAGTGCCACACTGTCCCCAACCACGAAGGGTCTCGAAACTACCCTTCACTAGGGCCTACACCAAGTGAAATGTTACACTACACAAAGTAATGTAAATATCTTCAATTTCTTGAGGTGTACCCTTTTTGGCGAGCTTCGAAATCACTTGAGGCTTGACACCAAGGCTCGGGCTCTTCATCACAAACTCATCCTTGAGTTCTTGATGGGTCTGCTGCACACACCTGCGACACGCCGAACGTTCAACACAGGACAAAATAGAAACCGCGCACGACAAAATAGAAACCGCGCGCGAGACACAAACGACCGCGTAACACGCGTCTAGCGATAACTCGCTATTGACTCGACACACACACTCGACATCATGACTCAACATTCACACACAATTATAAGCATGAAATATATATTATCCCATGCCCTCATACCATTCCATACACACACACATTCACGCACACGGACAACAAGCCGAGTGCAAACCGTAGGGTTGCACCAACAAACTCCCCCTCGGATTGTTGGCCTTAGGATATGTTGCTCTCTCAGTTCAGAGCCATCCCAGCCAGCTTGCAACACTTCCAATGCTGCTGCTCCACCAGCCTCTTGGTCATCATGTCAGCCGGCTGCCCCGTGGTCTTCACGTAGCGCAACTCAACTTCACCCGCGGTTACCATGCTCCTCGTCCAATGCCACTTCACCGTCATGTGCTTCGTGAGTCCATGCAACACAGGGTTCTTAGCAAGAGCAATGGCACCCTGGCTGTCACAGTACAGTGGGGTAGGTCCTTGCTGCTCCTCCCCCAATTCAGCCAACAAACGCCGCTGCCACACAATCTCCCGTACGGCACGGATGAGTGCCATGTACTCGGAGTCCACCGAGCTCAAAGCTTGGTCAACCTGCTTCTTGCTCTCCCAAGCAGTTGGGCCTCCACCAACACAGCATATGAAGCCTCCCACACTTGTCATGTCCTCTGGTTCTGATGCATATGAAGCATCCGAGTAGGCGGTGAGGAACAAACGCCCGGGTTCAACACCATCCGCGCCCTTTTGGCGCCTTTGTGCCGCCGCCGAGTATTGCAGCCCAACGGTCGGTGTTTGGCCAAGATACTTGGCCACCCTCATTCCAGCTGCTACCTGCTCCTCATTAGGGCATTGCACAACCCTAGCCAGCTGCCCGGTAGCAAACGCGACGTCCGGTCGGGTGTTTACCGCCGCATACATGAGGCTGCCCACCAACGAGTGAAATCGGCGCCTCTCCTCTTCACCAACGCTCTCCTCCTCTGGTCCCTTCACACACTTGAACCCAGAGGGAAAGGGTGTAGCCACATGGCCTTCACTCTGCCCAAAGTTGGCAGCCAATGCCTCCAGGTACTTTCGTTGATGCACCCGCATGCACCGCTTCTCCACATCTCGTTCGATGTGGAGCCCAAGGTAGAAGCTCACGTCACCAAGGGCCTTGCACTTGAACTTGTCTTGAAGCTTCAGCATCACCTCCTTCACAAGGTCAGAAGAGGGTGAGAAAATGAGGATGTCATCCACATAAACCACCATGAAACTCCTCTGCTCCCCCTCGCCAAGCATGAACAAGGAGTGATCGGCCGTTGAGGGAGTGAAGCCGATCCCCTCCAACACTTCGCGCAGCTTCATGTACCATTGCCTAGGGGCCTGCTTCAGCCCATAGAGGGCCTTCTTCAGCTTCCACACTCTGCCACTACCATCATCAAACCCCTCTGGCTGCGCCATAAAAATCTCCTCCTCAAGGATGCCGTTAAGGAATGCCGTTACGATGTCCATTTGCTTTACTACCCATCCTTTGATGGCGGCTCCCGCGAATAGGGTTCGCAGCGTCGTCGGCTTCACCACAGGGGCAAACAGCTCCTTGAAGTCCACCTTCTCCTTCTGCTGGTACCCCTTGGCTACAAGCCTAGACTTGTAGCGCTCGATCTTGCCGTCGGCATCCGACTTGATTTTGAAGAGCCACTTGGACGTTATCGCCGTACGCCCCTCCGGTAGCTCCACCAATTCAAACGTGTCATTCTCCTCGATGCTCTTCAGCTCACTCTCCATGGCCTTCTTCCACTCCTCAGCATCACTACTCTCCAAAGCCTCCTTGAGAGTTGCTGGTTCTCCCGGCATCTCCACCGGAGAGAAGAACGCGAAGGCACACTCCTCGTAGTCACTCTCCTCGTCGTCTCCGACCATCATTGCCGCTCCGGCCAGGGCTGTCTTGCCCTGCTTTCCCGGCGCATCATAGGTCAGCCTATTAGGGGGTTGAAATCTCCTCTTCCCCCTTCCTTCCTCCTCAGCTGCAGGGACTTGAAGGCCTTGGCGTTGCTGCGGTGTGGCTCGAATCCGTGGAGCACTCGTAGTACGGGAAGGAAGTGACGGTGCACGCTCGCTCACTTGCTGCACCTCCTCCTCTTCTTCCTCTGCA